GGACTTGAAAATGAACCCCTGGAAGGGAACTCTTCTCTCCCGTCAGCCTTTTCCTCCCTCCAGACAGCCCTCACCTCTGCTCCGGCCCTGGCCCTCCCAGCCTCAGAGAAGCCCTTCTTAACGATACAACTGTGAGAAGAGGGATCACCCTGGGGGTCTCAGCACAAACATATCACCCTGGTTTCACCTCTCAAATTACCCAACAGGTGTCTCAAGCTCTAGACATTAAGAGGGCTTCCCAGGTGGCACTAGTGGTAAAGAACCCACCGTCAATGCAGGAGACATAAGAGACAAGGGTTCGATCCCTGGGTTGGGAAGACCCCCCTGGAGGAGGAAAAGGCAACCCACTCCAGCATTCTTGCCTGGAAAATCCATGGACAGAGGAGCCTGGCGGGCTACAGTCTGTGGGGTCGCAGAGTCGGACACGACCGAGCGAATAAGCACAGCACAGCGACATTCTCTTTGAACGAACGACCCTCGTGGGACTTCCGTTTGTCCTCCTGTCAGATGCGCCGTCTGCCGCCTGGCCTCACCTATAGATAACCCGTGGCACTTTCCCTACCCAGGTGAAAGTAGGACCTGTCCCAAGTACATCGGCTCTGTCTTTCCCCCAAAAGCTTGGAGCTTTGATTTTCAATAATATCTTCTCACCTGGGAAAATAACACCTCCAGCCTTCCCAAAGTGTCTGCCTGCTCAAACCCGTTGGCGGGACTTGCTCCAACTGTCATCTGCCCCCTGCTAGAAGGCTCAGGTACAAGCTTCCCCTGAACATGACTCTTAGAGCCTGCGTACCCTCCTTCCGGACCTTGGCGTATCTCTGTACGCCTCCTACCTGGATCCAGACCCTCACCACCGTACCCCTGTGACCCCGATGCACCCCCACACCAGGCCTGGGCCTCTCCCCCACCTTTCCCGATACTGGACTAAACGAGAACCTCTGTCGGTCCCGGTAACTGAGGCCACAGTTCTGGCTTCAGGGGTCAGCACTGCAGCTGTCATGCACTCAGCCGTAACTGCCAGACTCTGCTCCTCCATTTGGGCTCCTGTCTTTCTTCTTTCTTAAATCCTTACTTCTTTATTTGGCCGTGTCGGATCTCAGCCGCAGCATGGGGACCTTCGTTGCCATGCGGGATCTTTCCTGGTGGGGCCCAGACCTCTAGTTGCTGAGCACGGGTACTCAAGTGCAGGCTCAGTAGTTGTGGAGCGTGGGCCTATTTGTCCCTTTGCATGTGGGACCTTTGTTCCCCAACCAGGGATGGACGTGCGTTCCCTGCACTGCGAGCAGGGGTCTTAACCACTGGACCACCAGGTAAATGCCCCGGTCCCTGTGTTATCAGGTTTCTCCTCTCTTTTCTAAAAAAAAAACCTCACTGCCCTTACCAAATGTCTCTTCCCTGTCACGGGTCTTGCCTTTCAGATCATTCACTTCCAAGACAACCCACCTGGCCTCCCAAGGAAAATAGCTCTATTTCCAGCTCAACAGGAAGAAGTTATGGAAAAGGAGACCTCATCCTCAGTTCCGCAAAAAATGGGTCAGCTGGGTTCCATGTAACACTGCGGTACATGCATGCTCAGCTGCCTCAGTCGTGTCCGACTCTGACCCCACGGACGGCAGCCCGCCAGGCTCCTCTGTCCGTGGGATTTTCCCAGCAAGAATACTGAAGAGGGTTGCCATTTCCTCCTCCAGGGGATCTTCCTGACCAGGGATCGAACCCAGGTCTCCAGAATCTCTAGAACTGTAGGCGGATTCTTTACCACTGAACCATCAAGGAAGCACATGTAACACTGAAGAATAAGTTACTATTCAGAGGGGGGAAATGAAAACTCATCTAACACTGTTAAAATAGAGTAACATCTGTCAAGGGCCACTATCAAGTCTCAGTCAGACACCCAAGAACTGGAAAATTACTGAAGACAAGAAGTTACAGCTTCCCAGAAAAACCACATCTTACAGAGAGCAGCCTGCCCGGATACTGCTAGAGACCAGAATAGACGTGAGCGTGCCCCCTCTTTCCTGAAACTTGCTCCTTAAACTCAATAAAAGACTCAAACCCTGCACCTCCAAGGTCAGAGCCACTCCATGCCTCTGCCCCTTTCCTCCCTGGAAAAGTGAATAAAAACTTTCTTTTCTTCTCTTGTTAACACTTCTATGAATTCTTTCATAACCCACCTTGATTCATCTAACAGTTAAAATGGTAAATGAGGGCTCCTGGTCCACTGGTTAAGAATCTACCTGCCAGTCACATTGAGCTACATACAACAAATTCTGATAAATTATGTTTTCATTTTTATTCTGTTACAAATAGTTTCAAATTTCCCTTGTTATGGCTTTTTAGATAGAACTATCATTTAAAAGTGGACATTTAAGTTCCAAATACCTGGGGTTTTTTAAGTATCTTTGGTAGTAACTTCTCATTTTGATATTAATTTCTCATTTAAATGCTTTCTTCTCTGCAATCATCCTCTCTCTTTTTTCAGTCTTATGACTTTGTTGAGGCTTTCAATGGCTAAGTTAAAGATCTCTCTTGGTAAACATCACATTACACTTGAAAATAAGTGAGTTATTTTCGAATATCTTTTGATGTTGATTTCTAACATAATGCTACAGTGATAAGAGAACAGACTATGATTTCAATGCCTTTAGGCAATGAAATTTTTGCATCTTTGTTTTTTATGTACCTGAATATGTTCTGATGTCTCCTGGTTTATAGCCTATGGGAACTTGAATAGAATTGTTATCCTACTGTTGTGTGAAAATTGTATGAATCTTACTTATGTTGATTTGGTTCAGAGTACTTTTCAGGTCTACTCTAGCCTTCTACTTTTCTGTCTATTCATTGCTTATTTTTGAGAGTTTGATATTGAAAGTATTAGTCGCTCAGTTGTGTCCAACTCTTTATGACCCTATTGACTGTAGCCCACCAGGCTCCTCCATCCATGGGATTCTCCAGGCAGGAATACTGGAGTGGATAGCCATTCCCTTCTCCAGGGGAATCTTCCTGACCCAGAGATCGAAGCTGGGTCTCCTGCACTGCAGGTAGATTCTTCACCATCTGAACCACCAGGGAATCCCTCTGATTACATTGAATCGGTTCACAGTGCTTTTCAGGTGGCTCAGCTGGTAAGGGATCCACCTGCAATACTGGAGACCTGGGTTCGATCCCTGGGTTGGGAAGATCCCCTGGAGAAGGGAAAGGCTACCCACTCCAGTATTCTGGTCTGGAGAATTCCATGGACTGTATAGTCCACAGAGTCGCAAAGAGTTGGACTGAGCAATTTTCACTTCGTCCCCCTCTCCACCTTGGCTCCAACTGATGGGCTTCCCTGGTGGCTCAGAGGTTAAAGCATCTGCCCACAATTCGGGAGACCTGGGTTCGATCCCTGGGTCGGGAAGCTCCCCTGGAGAAGGAACTGGCAACCCACTCCAGTGTTCCTGCCTGGAGAATCCCATGGACAGAGGAGCCTGGTGGGCTACAGTCCATGGGGTCGCAAAGAGTCGGACACGACTGAGTGACTTCACTTTCTATCTTTCTACTTTTCTATCTGCACATTCCATTTATTTTTGAGACTTTGATTTTGAAACTCCAACTAAAAGCTTAATTTGCCTACTTAAAGGAGTCATTGCAATAGGGAACCCGGCTGCCAATGCAGGGGACACGTGTCAGCGTGCAGGGCTGGGAGGATTCCACATGCTCCCAGGCAGCTAAGCCTGTGCCACAGCCACCGAGCCTGCACGCTAGGGCTTGCGAGCTGCCGCTCCTGAAGCCCGCGCCCCGAGAGCCTGTGCTCCGCCACAGAGGGAGACCCCCGCAGCGAGCGGCCCTGCACCCCACCTAGAGAGGAGCCCCGCTCGCGGCAACCGAGAAAGCCCTCGAGCAGTGACGACGAAACGGCACAGCCAAAAATAAATACATAAAACTCTAAAAAAGCAGCTCCTTATTGGAGAAGATGGTAAAAGATACGTGTGTTGTGGCACAATAAAATAATTTTTAGAAGTGAATTGACAATAAAGTTTCATATATTTTAGAAAACATTTTTTTGTTTGGCTGAACCGGGTTTGGCTGTGGCACATGGCATCGATCTTTGTTGCCGCGTGCATCTAGTTCCCTGAGCAGGGGTAGAATCCAGGCCCCCTCCCTTGGGACTGCAGAATCTTAGCAGGTGGTCCACAGGGAATGGTCATAGCGCTTCATATATGTATATATAAATTTTTTTTTTTACAAGGAAGGCAAGTCCAACACATGCTATAACATATATGAACCTGGAGGACTTTAAGCTGAGTGAAGTAAATCATCACTAAAGAACAAATACTGTTTGGTTCCACTTACACGAAGTTCCTAGAATACTCAAATTCATGGAGATAGAAAAGAGAAGTGGGGTTGGCAGGGGCTGGGGGAGGGAGCGTGGGGAGATAGTATGGAGACAGAGTTTCAGTTTTGCAAGAGAAGAGTTTTGGAGGGGCTGGTGGTGGTGGTTTTGCCTAAAAATGCGTATTAGTTAATGCTGTTCAACTGTACACTTAAAAATGATTGAAATAGAAATTTTGTGTTGTATATATTTTACCACAATTTGTCTTAAAATGAAAGAAATCACAGCTATAAGTAATTTCTCATTAGTGACAGATTAAAAAAAACAACCTAAACAAAAGTGCGTTCTTACTACTGACAGCAGGGATGGGGTAGAGGATGGTGGTGGCGTGGTCCGCTGTGAGCACAGGATTCGTGTGACCTGCTCAGTTGCATGGCCTTTGCTCCATCGTCGACTTGACCCAAGACACCAGGGAAATGTACATGGGCTAATGAATGGACCTGCCACTGCCGGGATGCTCGGAAGGGAGCCCCGGTCAGGGAAGCGCAGGAAATTCTAGAAAGTTGCAGAGGAAGCTTCTTAGGCTATCATGCAACGTCCCGCCCTTAATTTCTTAGACTGACCGGGAAAGCCGGTGACTCAGAAGTCTCGGCGAGGCTGTCTGCCCAGCTGGACGGATCAAGGGAGTGAGATGGGTCGGCGGAAAAAGAAATCAAGAGAGGAAAGAGAAGAAGCAGACAGAAAATTCAAAGGCCAGCCCAACAAAAGATCGAAGATTCTGGCCTGGTTCCGCAGGCATCGAGACCCCCAGACTGCTGTTGTTCCTCTGGCAGAAAGCTCTGAAGGTACCAGGGTCACTCTCACCTTTTCTATCTGGCGGAAAGTGGTGTCTGTCCCTTCCTTCTTTTGTTCCTCATCCATCCCTTCCTTCAGTGTTTATTGCACGCCGCCCTCAAGGCTGTCATGCGGAGGGTTTGGGGGGACCCGGCAGAGTGATGAGGCCCCTCCTTCCCAAGCCTGGAGGACCGCACAAGATGCAGGGGTGCTGGCTTGTTGATGATAGCTGTGATGGGGGTGGGATGGAGCTGAACCCCGGGCCGGGGGCAGGGCGGGGGGGACTAGAGCTCACACAGAGGGGCAGGAATGGTGCCCACAGAGTCCATCAGCCAAGAGTCGTCCCTCTTGTGAGACCTCACCGTGGATCTCACGTGAAGCTCGTTTCAAAGCTGAGGCGACAGAGGTTCCGAGAGGCTGAGTCACTTGCCCAGCAAGTGAGGGGGTCAGTGTTCCAATCCAGACAACCAGAAGTGGGTACGGGGTTGTGCCCCCGGCTCTGGGGTGCAGGAGTGAGAGAAGAGGAGCGGGGGTGGGCGTGGGGCTGGGTGTGTCTGGTCTGTGGGGGACCCACGTGTGTGTACCCACAGCCCCGCTCGGGTCTGCGTCCAGGGAAGCTCACTGGATGGCCTTGAGTGGGGGAGTGGGGCTGGACTGCCCTGTTAATTAAGGCTCTGGTCTTGGGGGGCGTTTGAAGAAAGGCTAGGGGGCTTTTTTTTGGAGGAGCTGGTGTTTTTAAAAGCTAGAGAGAGTTCTCTTGAAGAGAAAAGGCTTCATGCTTTCCGTGTGGGCAGTGGAAAGTTGCAGAATTGCAGTGGGAGCCCAGGGTGGTGGGGGCCACTGTCTTTATGTCTGATATCTGGACGGTGACCAGCATCATCACTTAAGGGACAAGCATCTTTCAGTCGACTCACAGGAGATGGGATCTCGGAGGGAGTCTCCCGGGTCCTTACTAGCCTGGTGACGTTGGGGCATTTTTGCCAGGAGGGTCACTGTGCCAGGGTCATTCCCCTTCCTTTCTCAACTGTGCTGGCCAGTGTGTGGTTGGTGGGGAAACCGGGAGGTGGTCAGGCGGTCGGGGGCAGCCGAACTGTCCTCGGGTTCCCGGCCAGTGGAGGGCATGGTGGGTGCTGGCCAGGCCCATCTGCCTTCACCCAATCGCTCGGGTGTGTGTGGGGACAGCAGGGGCCACCACCCCATGTCTGACCTTCGTCAGCCTCACCCTGTCCCCGCCAGTGTTCCTGCTGACAGATGGCATCGACACAGCCATGATCGTCAGAAGCCTGAGGGACCTCAGGACTTTGTAAGGGTGGCTGGCCTTTTTGGGGAGGGGGATTGGTGCTCCCACCCAGAGGGGGCCAGGGTGGGGTGGGATCAACAGGGGTTTCCTCTCTGAGGTTCAGGGTGGGGGGGGTGCATGAGCTCCAGGAGGGGGGTGTCCTGTGGAGACACAGCGTGAACCACACACAGGAAGCTTTCATAGTCACGGGAGCAAATAAAAACAGAAATAGGTGAAATTATTTTACTGATATAGTTTACTAGGCTAAAGTAGTATGTTAGCATGCTTCAGCATTCAATCAGCATTATCACTATTAAGATGTTTTAGAGATTTCCCTGGTGGTCCAGTGGTTAAGACACTGCCTTTTCCCATGCAGGGAGCCTGGGTTCTATCCAGGGCGAGGGAGCTAAGATCCCATGTACTGCTAAGCATGGCCATTCAAACAAACAAACAAAACCTTGTGAGATATTTTGCATTCCTTTTTTCCCACTCAGTCTGTGAAAACCGATGTGGGTTTCGCACGGACAGCACAGCCCAGCTGGACAGTTCAAGTGCCCAGCGGCCACGTGTGGCTCGTGGCTGCTCCCTGCACAATGCCTCTCTGGAAAGAAGGGCAGTGATGCCGGGGTGGCCCTGAGGCTGCCAAAATCACAGAGACTCCAGGGGCTAGATGTCCTGTTTTCGAATCTAACCTAATTCATCTTCATAAAGGAGCCAAGCGGGGGAAGGAGTGGGACAGATTGAGGGCGTAGCATTAGCATAAATACGCTACCGTGCGCGTGAAATAGACAGCTGGCGGGAGGCTGCGTAGCCAGGGAGCGCGGCCTGGTGCTCTGTGATGACCTAGACGGTGGGACACGGGGTGGGTGGGAGGCTCAGGAGGAGAGGATATATATGTAGTTATGACCGATTCATGTTTTTTTCGGCAAAACCCAACACAACAATTGAAAAGCAATTGTCCTCCAGTAAAAAGTTAATTAATTAATTAAAAAAAAATGGAGCTATTTACTAGGAGTACGTAGGGGCTCTTTACCCCTGCCAACGTAGTCAAATTGGAGGCTGTCCTGATCCAGTATGTCCTGGTTCAAAGTTTTTCATTATTATGATGTACATTCACCTGCTTTCACTGAGAGACCCAACAAAACAGTGGTCTAAGCAAGATAAAATTTACATTTTTTAGGGCTTTCCAGGTGGTTCAGTGATAAAGGATCCGCCTGTCAATGCAAGAGACTCAGATGCTGGTTCAATCCCTGGATCAGGAAGATTCCTTGGAGGAGGGCTGGCAATCCACTCCAGTATTCTTGCCTGGAGAGTCCATGAATAGAGGAGTCTGGCAGGCTACCGTGCACAGGGCCGCAAAGAGTTGGACAGGACTGAAGCGCCTTAGCTCACACGTGCCGGTGCTCCGTAGAGCTCAGTTCAGTGCAGTTCAGTCGCTCAGTCGTGTCTGACTCTTTTCTACCCCATGGACTGCAGCATGCCAGGCTTCCCTGCCCATCACCAGCTCCTGGAGCTTGCTCAAACTCATGTCCATCAAGTCAGTGATGCCATCCAACCATCTCATCCTCTGTTGTCCCCTTCTCCTCCTACCTTCAATCTTTCCCAGCATCAAGGTCTTTTCCAAAGAGTCAAGTTTTCGTATCAGGCGGCCAAAGAATTGGAGTTTCAGCTTCAACATCAGTCCTTCCAATGAACATTCAGGACTGATTTCCTTTAGGATTGACTGGTTTGCTCTCCTTGCTGTCCAAGGGACTCTCAGGAATCTTCTCCAACACCACAGTTCAAAAGCATCAATTCTGCGCTCAGCTTTCTTTATAGTCCAACTCTCACATCCATACATGACTACTGGAAAAACCATAGCTTTGACTAGATGGACCTTTGTCGGCAAAGTAACGTGCTGTCTAGGTTGGTCATAGCTCAGCAACCATAGAGCTCACGGACCCAGACTTTTACCTTGAGGTCTGCTGCCAGCTGCTACTAGGTGGGGCTCCTGCCTCGTAGCTCAGGGGGGCTGCCCTGCTCCTGTTTTCGTAGGTGCATCCAGTAGTCAGGAAGCAGGACTGGGGAAGAGAAGAACATGCCTTTGCCCTTGACGATGGAAAGGCCCCAGACCCAACTTGAAATACAGCTCCCTTCCCACGTGGAAATTCAGGAGTTAAAGTGAATGCCCTTTCAGGTTAAAGTCCCTGAGAACGTATGCTGAGGTGTTCAGGAGCCTTTGAATTGCCCTCCCCCCACCCTTACTCCTTTATGCTGAGGTGTTCAGGAGCCTTTGAATTGCCCTCCCCCCACCCTTACTCCTTTCGGCTCGAGTCTCATCAGAACCTCTTCCTGTGGCTGCTGGCTGGGCTGTGTCGCTGAGGACCTTTGGAATCCAAAGCGCATTTCTGCCCTTCTGGTCTCTCCCTGCCTGGAGGGGTCCTTGGACCATCCCTTCCCTGCCTGACACCCACAGCATTTAGGAAATAAGGTCATCCCTAGCCCCCAAGTGCTCTGCCCTGGAACTTCAAGGTGTCATCCTTTTCCCCTCCAGCATTTTCAAAACCTCTTCCTTTCATTCTTTTCTCCAAGCCGATTCTTGGCACCTTTGTGCTTACTGAGGGTGGGCTGAGAGGCAGCAGGGCTGCCACCTCCATCTTGAGCTGCTGCCCCCGACCCTACGCACTGAGACACTGAGGCCTTTGAGGCTGTCAGCTGCTGCACTGTCCAGATGCTCCTGGGCCCTGGGTGGCTGCCGGCTGGGGGGTAGCCTCTCTGGCCCTCCGGGTCCCCAGTCCAGGGTGTGGCACCCATGGGCCCAGCAGGACAGTGGGTGACCCTTTTTGTCCATAATTGCCCCAGCTGGCTCCATGCTGGTGGGCAATCCTGACCCACTCCCTGGGGTCTAAGGGCCTGCCATCCTGTGCCCCCATTACACACCCCTTAGTCCTGGAGAGAGCCACCCCCCTGGGCCACATAACTACGGGCCTGGGTGCCTGCTTGGGTGAAGTGGTCTCTGTGAACAGCCCAGGTTGGCCAGGTCACAGGTGGTACTGGGGCTCCCGAGAATGGGGTGCTTAGATGGGGAGGGGCAGGCAGGGCAGTGGGCAGAGGTGAGAATGGAGATGAGGGGACCACGGGGAGGCCACTCCGTGTCCAAGGGCTCGAGTGGGCCCCAGCCTCAGCAGAGGGACTCTCCTCTCCATCCACCTGTCCGTCGCTAGACTGGCCTGATGTGGCCAAGGTCACTCTTTTTCTCTAAACTTTTCCGGAGAAGACCAAGCACCTCATCTCGGAGGCTTTGCCTCTAGCTGCTGCTCAGGCCTGGGCTGCTTCCTTGTCTGGAGAAGGGGCTGAACCTGGGGAGCCCCAGGCACCCAGGGAGGGGAATGGAAGGCACAAGCTGCACCCCACCCTGCCCCTCCCGGGATGGTTCTATGACAGCTGGATCTCTGTCTGTCTGTCTGTCTGTCTCTATCCTCTGTCATTTGTCTGTCATCCATCCATTGTCGATCCATCATCTATCCCTCCCTGTCGTCTGTGTTTCTATCTACTATCTTTTATTTGTATCTGTCATCTGTTTCTTCTCTCTGTATCCATCAATCATCTCTCTCTCTACCTGTCCCGCGTCTCTCTACCTGTCCCGTGTGTGGAAGGAAGTGGGGTTTGGTTGCCCTTGGATACTGTTGAGAAGCAGGTCTCAAGTGCGATTCCGGGCCCAGCACCTCCTGCCCCACCTTGAAACCTGGCAGGAAAGCAGACTCCCTACCTGGGTGCGGATGGCCCCAGGGGGTCCTGATGTGCCTTCATGCGGAGAACCCCTGTGCTGGAGTGTTTGCTACCAGCTCTGGGGGACTCCCTCCTGGCGTACCTCTGTCTTCTGGCAGGGTGCTGATAACCATTCAGTCATCTGGTGGGGACTCAGATCTTGATCCGCCCTGGAGCGTAGAGGCTCACAGATGTCATGATGGGCTCTGAAGGGTACCACATGAAAAGTTCACTGGGAGAAACCCTGTGCCCTTCTGCTTCTGTCTGGCCCCTTGACCTGGGCCCCAAAGGCTCTTCAAAAGGCCGCCTCGTCTTCTTGCCGGTACCTCTGATGGATAGGCGAGTTCAGCACAGGCACCCCCAGGCAAACAAGGTCACTCCGAGGAGCCCCGCGGCAGCCCCCCGCCCCCTCACCCACCGTCCTCTCCTGCAGCCCCCACTGAGCCACCGGCCTTTCTTTGGTTCCTTTCTTCCAGGATTCTCACAGCTGGTCTTGGAGGGCCGCTTCCTGGAAGCCTGCCGGAGCATCTCATCCTTGGCAGAGGACGGGCAGGACCGTGGCTCCCAGTACCAGATGGTGGCCCAGGGCATGTGGCAGGTCATCCGGGAGGCGCTGGAGGGCGGCGGGGGCAGCCAGGAGCTGCAGAGGAAGCTCAGGTCGGTGGCGGCCACAGTGGAGTGGGCCCGGGGCTCCTCACGGGAGCTGGGTGATGACCTGGCCTCCTGGGACTGCCAGTTGCGAACACAGCTGAGGAATGACGCCGAGAACCGGGTGCCCCCGAGCCCCAGAGACCGAGTGCCCCTGAGCCCGGGGGACCAGTTGGGCGGGTACCTGGCGGAGCTGGCCAGGGCCGTGGATCGTGGCCTGGACCCCCAGAGGGCAGGCTGGCTGGGAGCCCGCCTCTCGGCGACCGACAGAGAGTGCTTCCAGGAGGTGCTCCTGGACCGTCTCTCCATGCTCCTGACCTGCAGCGGAGACCCGGACAGCTGCCGGGAGCTCTACACCTGGGCCAGGAAGACCTTGTTTGGGCAGCTGGCGTGAGTCCGCCTCGGGGCCTTGGGGTCTTGGGCCAGGACACTGCCGTGGCGTGACGATCCACGGGCCGGGGCGGTCAGAAGGGCCTCCTGGGGCGGGAGCGAACTCAGGGGACAGCCTAAACACACACGTGCGTGTCTGTGGGTGTGTGTGTCAGTGTGTTCCTGGTGCGGCATGGGTACGGACGGGTGTGTGAGCCTGTCGGTGAGTGTGTGGGAGCTCACGTCACGAGCTCACGCTCAGAGATGACCGCAGAGACTTTAGTTCCCATGCGTGGCCCCCAGCCGTCCTCTCCCTGAGCAGGGGTGGGTCCGGCCCGGAGTGCACTGCCCTCCCCGCTCCGCAGCCGGGCCTGTGCCCCTCACAGCTGCTTCCAATCCTGCAGGAAGATGCCGGAGCCTGCTGCCACCAGGAAACTCTCGGACCCGCTGATGTTTGTCACCTGGATGTCCCAGGTGCAGAGCCGGCTGGTGGAGCTGGTCCAGGTAACTGGCTTCTGGGAGCGTCCACCACCGAGCCTCCTTGTCCTGCATCTGGGGGTTGAGCTGGAGCCCAAGTCCACCCCTAGGATGGATCCAGGCCCTTGACCACTGCCCCGTGGGTCTGCATCACAGGACATGTTACAAAACGGCCTGTGGGGACTCCACCCCGGGTCCTGTTGCGGCTTTGACCAGCAGTGCAGTTTGGCTCCCCAGGCCTCAGTGAGCGACCCCAGAGCCGGGGAGGCTTAGATGGGGAGTTGGTTGTCCCCAGATGATGCAGGCAGTTAATCCATGGCAGACACGGTAAGACTGTAGCCCAGTGGGCTCCTCTGTCCATGGAGTTTTCTGGACAAGGATACTGGAGTAGGTTGCCATTTCCTCCTCCAATTCATTCTCCTCTCATTCAAACATGGTGAGCACTTATAGCACCATCACAACTTTCTACCTCAACCATTTTTTAAAAAATGTGATTTGCTGTCACAAACGAGACACAGGACATGTATACATTGAGACTGCAGTTTTCCAATCACTGATAGAAATGTCCGGCCTTCTCAGCGCACACAGACATGCTGGCCTAACTCAAGTCTCCGTCCCCTTGAAGCACCCGGGTCAGAGCCTCCTGTTCTTGGAGTCTCTGCCTAAGAATCCGGGCCTTGTCGTCCTCTGCCTTCCACACTCGTCCACTGAGCTGAGCTGAGCAGAGCTGCTGGGTGTCAATTCAGACCCCCAGGCAGGATGAAGGGATCCTGCTGCTGGGTCCCCACGCCACCCCCCGCTCCAGCCGCCCTCCCCTGGGAAGGGTACCAAGGGCTGGGGCAGCATCTCCCTGCCCTACAAGGTTCCTGCTGTTTTAGGGACGTGGGGGTGTGGGGGCGTGAGGGGGGCAGGGCTAAGAGTGGAGAAGTACTGAGTGCTGGGCAGGCGTGGAGCGCAGTGTCTTCCGCCAGGGCCCCCGTAAGCCGGCTCTGGCCGGCGGTGTGGGAGGGGGCTTCCTACCGAGCGTTTGTCCTCGCCTTGGACCCACCTGACGGGTCACCCCGAGCTTTTCAGAGGGGCGCCATCGGCCTGGGGATCCCCAGCCCAGCCAGGCCTCTATAGGCTGTGGTAACCTCCGAGCTGTGGCCCAGGCCTTGTCAGTCCTGGCGTCCCATGTCCTCTTGACCCCCAGTCCATTGGTATCTGGGCACCCCTGTCTGACCTGGTCACTTGCAGGGACCCTGGACCCCGACAAGGGTAGCTGTTTATCCCCCTGCCCCCGACTGAGTAGTGATGATAGAAGTGGTTGTCTTCTCAGGGCTAGGGGTGGGGCGGATCCGGAAGGTGTCAGGCCTCCTGTGAGGGGTTGACAGATGTGGGCCGTGGAAGAAGGGCTTTACTCGGGAAACCAGGTCCCCAGGTGGGGGCATTTCAGGCTGCTGGTTGGTGCGGGTCCCTGGGCTGGTCAAAGACTTGCCCCTCACTCCTGTCCCCAGTCAGGGTACCCCAGCCTCAGCTGTAGGGGGACTGGACCTGGCTGTGCCCCAGAGAGAACAGGGGGATGGAAGTTGCTTTTATTGTGTTCCGAGCAGAAAGAGTTGGAAAAACAACTAGAAGATGTCCTGACCTGTGATCAGAAAGAGTCGGCCACCTCTTCCTGCCAGGCATTCCTCAAAATCTTCCAGGTATGCCCACCACGAGGGCTGCTGGCACCTTCCTGAGTGGCCGGCCTGGAGGAGGAGGGGCCTGGAAGGACCGGGGTGCTGGGAGGGGCGTGGGTGTGGCAGAGACAGGAGGGGCTGAGCAGGGGAGAGGGAGGCCGGCGCTCCTGGGCACTGGAGCAGGGGTGGCGCTGGGGGGTACGCGGTGCCCGAGGCCAGGCGAGGAGCTGAGCAGACAGCACTCAGCCCAGGCCCGTCTCTTGGGTGGTGGGGTCCCAGTGTTGGGGTGCAGGAGCCTCTGCGGGGAACCTCTCATCTCATGAAGACCCACTCCTGGGTCTCACTTAGGACCTGGAAGAAATGGGTGTTTGGGGAGGGTGGGGCTTCAGTGGGGAGGGTCCTGAGGCTCCAGGAGACATTGTGCAGTCCACCTGGTATAAAATGTTTGGTCCATGAGCATGAGTGTGAACATGTGTGTGCATGTACACGAATGTGTGCACATGTGTGTATATGCACAGGTGTGCACGCATGCACATGCATGTGCACGTGTGCCTGTATATGGGTGTGTATGTGTGCATAAGCACATGTATGTGTATATGCGTGTGCGTATATACACATGTGTACATGCATGTGTGAGCATGTGTGTGCATACACCTGTCTGCAAGCATATATGTGTATGCCTCTGTATGTGCGTCTATGTATATGTGTAAGTGCGTGTTTGTATGTGTGTGTGTGCATGTGTTTGGCTTTCTTCATAGGGGTGAGTTGGTGTTTCTGTTGATTTTTGTGACTGCTGGGGCTGGAGAGAGAGAAGATGATGGGACACTAAGAATCCTCAATGCCTTTATCAGAGACGCCCTGTTGAGAGCGTCGGGAGGGAGTTGAGCTGGGGCATGAGCTGGGGGAGAGTTGGCAGCTCCTGTTGAGGAGGCTGGTGCAGCCTCAGGGTGTGTGTCAAATGGGAGGAACTCCAGGTGTGTGAGGCTGAGGGCAGGACCCAGTCTGGATGCGAGTGGGGAGGCCTGAGGAGACAGGGGGAGCATGGTGGGAGGGGTCTGCCCCTTGCCATCTGCAGCAGGCAGGCTTGGAAGCGGGCAAGGTGTGGAGACAGCTGGGACAGGCGCGGAGTTGGGGGGCCGCATCCTCCCAGTGGTCTGCCCCATCCCCCGAGAGTCCACTTGCTTTGACTGACAGCTGTTGAAAGGAACCATAGATTCAGTGCAAGACATTGGGCCTCCCATCACCAGCTGGGTTCAAGCCATGGTTCTGAACACGTTTTCAGAGTTTCTGAAAAGGTAAGTGAAAAGGCAGCCCTGCCCAGGTGGGGAGGCCTGGTCTGGGTTCAGCTAACCCGTGTCAGAGCGTTCACCTCGCCAGCAGCTGCCAGGCCGGGGAAAGTTCACAAAATGCAGGGGGAGGGCTGGTTGGCTCCGGGTGACCCCCGTCCTGCCCGCTCCGCGTCTTGCCTTGGCTTTGGAGGCAGCCCTGTGTGACCGCGGAAATGTCCAGCCTGGAGGCCCCGGCCCGGCAGCTGTCCAGCTAGTTCTAAGGGGGCATGAGGTTTAAATTTTATTTAATTTCAACTAACTGACATTTGAACAGTGTGTGGGGCATGGGGCTCGTGGCTCTCTGTTGCACGGCAGCGCGAGCTTAGGGGGAACCCGGGTTCGGTTCCCGTCCTTCTTTAAAATTTGTGCATCCTGGATTTTGTTATGCTGATGTTGAGGGTTTTTTTTTTGTTTGTTTCATCTTATTTTTTGGCCAAATATGGCTTGTGGGATGTTGTTCCCCAACCAGGAATCAAACCGCTGCCTCAGAGCAGTAGAAGCACAGAATCCCAACCACCAGGGAATGGCCCTCGAGCTTTAAAAACTGCGATAAAGCACCCTTTTTCTCCGTTACTGGATTTCAGGGCGCCCTTTTAAACCTTGCGGCTGAGCTGAGAGCCTCACTCCCTTCTCTGGTTATCACAGCAGGACTTGCTATCAGTCTCCTTGGTCCACACCCAGCTCTGCCCTGGCCCCGGATTTGGAGGGGGGGGCTCCCTCTCTCCCAGGGGGCTGGGGTGAGGGTGGCTGTGGCCGGGGTTGCCCGGACTTAGTGAGAAGCAAGTTTGGGGCACAGCGCTGTGTACCGGAGCGTCACGGGGCCCCCTTTTCCGGGATTTCCAGTGTGGCTGTGTTCACCAAGCACGAGGCTCTCTGAAGGGCCTGGCACCAGGCAGGTTCCTCATGAGAGGCCAGAGATGTGAATCTTTAGATGAAATCAGCCAGGTTTTAAATGTTGACCCAAACACCATGGGGTGGCTAGTTAATCGTGATTTATAGTCTAGGAATTAAAAGGCATTCCTTCTTTCCTGCCTTTGGGGAGCGGGGGTGTCCGTGCCTGTCCTGACTCCTCTCTCCCCACTCTGCTGCGGGGGGAGTTGCAATGGCCCAGGCAGGGTGTGGGGCGCCCCCTCCCCTCCCCGTGGGTCCTCCCGACACTCCCGGAGGCCTTGTTTCCTACTTCTTCCTTCACCTGTCGGGAGAGTGCATTAGCCGTGATTCCAGACCACAGGAGAAACCCAGTCCTGTCCCGTCTAGAAGCGTTTACCGCAAAGGGCCGGGGACAGCATTACAGGAAAAGAGCCTTGGGAAGCATCCGTTCCAGCGCCTGGCGCAGAGCCGGCCCCAGTTGTCCACACGTTGACCACGACCACCCACACCTGCAGTTTCACGGAAGAAGCAGCAGTCAGGCTGAGAAGGGGGACGGCTTGCACTGCTGGATGGGGCCGACTCACGGGGCGGCGCCTGCATCTCCGCCTCCACATGCAGATACTGGGGTGAGGGTGCCCCCCACTTCCTCCAGCAGCAGGCCGGTGCCGGACCCTCCCCCCAGCTGCACATGCTGCAGAACTGCTGCGTCCTCAGGTGGGTCCCGGTGTTACCCAGGTGTGGGCAGGGTGGGCAGCCTCAGACCCGGCGGGCTACTCTGCATGGATGGCAGACTGGGTGCCTGTGTGAGAAGTGGGGGATGACCCCCCCATGCTGGATACCCAGTGGCAGGATTTCATACAGGAAACGCCAGATGCCAGGAACACTGGCTACTGCTGGAAGGAGTTTTCCTCTTGTACCTTTTGCATTTCATGCTACAGGAATATAAGACTTATTCCATGAATAAAAAAGAGTGGGGATGAAACAGACAACCAGGCGCAGAAGTGAGTCTGTCTGCCCGAGGGTACACAGAGGGTCAGCAGCAAGAGGGATGCGCACGGCTCAGGGCTGTGGCTGGGCCTGCAGGGCTCCCGGCCAGGCCCCACGGGCCCTGTGGGTTTCCTCCAACAGGAAAACGTGGCAGAGTCTGGGCCAGGCCCACACTCCCCTGGCGGACGTGGTGCTGCGTACCATCAGCGCCATCGAGGACCGGAGCCAGGACGACCTTGTGTCCGTGGTCAGAAGCCAGTACCGGGTGATGTACCCCCAACTCCAGCCCTTGCGCGGGCCCTCTGCTGCTCCCAATGGTGTGGCCAGAGGGTGCCTCTGTCTCGCGGGCTCCCTCCAGCCCAGGACAATGAAGGGGATACAGCAAAGCCCAGGCACAGCTAGCTTCGAGTTGCCTGCCTCCAGCCTTCTCCCTGCCCGAGCCTGGGTCTTGGTCTGCAGTGGGAGGACAGCTCAGCTTCCCGTCTGGCCAGAGACGGGCCCCGTGCAGCTGAGGGGGCTGGGGCTGGCCTTGCCTCCGCTCAGGAGGCCCGGCTCCACCGTCACAGAGGGCAGCTGCCTGGGCAGGGTCCACTTTTGCAGTCTGTCCACAGGCAGACCTGCTCTTGGCTCTGTCTAGAGCCTAGTGGGGCATCTTGGCTGTGGGTCTAGTGGGGAGCAGGGCTGGGGAGGTGGGGCCTGTAGGGCTGGAGGAGAGAAAGGGCAAGGACGGCAGACAGGCTGGGCTCGGGCCTCAGTGACCGTGACGCTCCTGTGCTCAGAGCCTACTGGGGCATCACTTCGGGTGGAAAGACGAGGGGCTGGCCCAAGCTCTGCGATCCCTCAGGCGGGGCCTGGAGCACTACCCCAGCCTGCTTCCTCCTCCCACGTACAAGGTAGGAAGGAGCAGAAGGGGCTCCCGGGGGGTCAGCTCTGCGTGGCTGCTGGCATCTCCCCCGGCCCCAGGGCTGTGGGCGCCGTCCTGCCAACAGGCGGCCCAGGGCCAGAGACAGGCAGGGCTGCGTGGCCCTGGTCGTCAGTCTGGCTCTTGGTCTCCCCGGGGGAGGTGCGGGGCCAGCTGGCGGTCACCCCGGGAAGGAGCCGCTTTGTCGCGGAAGCCCAGTGGTCAGGGGTTAGGCCTGCCGAGTTGGGGGCCAGGCCCCACAGACCCAGCTAGCGGGGCTTTGTGGACCATTCTGCTGCCCCCACCCCCAAGGCTGAGCCCCTGAGGCCAGGAGACCTTGTCCTGGGACAGCCTCGCTCCACCTTTCGCATCCTCTTTCTTTTGGCGGGGCAGAGCCTTGTGCAAAGCCTTTACAAAGCGGTCTTCACTGAGTACCTCCAGGCCTTGGTCACCCATCTCAAGAGGCTGAAGCCCCGGAAGTGGGAAGACCACCGGGGTCAGGTGCAAACGGACTTCCGGGAGCTGCATGAGGCTTTCGGGAGGCAGGAGGTGAGCCCGGGACCCTCGGGGGGTCCGAGGGGCCGCCGTCCCCTTTCCGGCATGTCTCTCTTCTTCCCCGACTGGCCTGGACCCGGCTGACCCCTCCTGCCCTGCCAGGCCTGTCTGTGCTAGGCTGGTCTCTCAGGGCGGCCCTGGAGCTCTGGGCAGAGGGGAGGCAGGGCCTGGGGGGGCACCCTGGGGGGCTCAGGGGTGACACGGGCAGGCACACCCTGCTCTCCCCGGCAGGGCCGGCCCGGGGGCCTGTGCGGTGACCCCGGGGTGAGGCCCGCGCTGGGTGAGGCTGGGAGCTCCTCTCCGCAGGGCCTCGGTGACGGAGCCCCTGGCCGGGAGGCCGTCATGGAGGTCTTCCAGCTCAGCGGGAAGCAGGGCAACCCGTGTCTGGATGAATGGCTGGACTCCTTCAGGGACAGGTCCCCAGATTACGTGGGGTGAGAGGCAGGACGGGCAGGGAGACGGGGAGACTGCGGGGGGCTCAGCCCGGGCCTGGGTGGGGGCGGGACTGAGCTAAGGGCGCGGGCGTGTGAAGCGTGAATATGAGGGCGAGAAGGGTGTGAAGGGTGAGTGTGAAGGGTGAGAAGGGTGTGAAGGGTGAGTGTGAAGGGTGAGAAGGGTGTGAAGGGTGAGTGTGAGGGTGTGAAGGGTGTGAAGGGTGAGTATGAAGGGTGAGAAGGGTGTGAAGGGTGAGTATGAAGGGTGTGAAGGGTGAGTGTGAAGGGTGAGAAGGGTGTGAAGGGTGAGTATGAGGGTGTGAAGGGTGTGAAGGGTGAGTATGAGGGTGTGAAGGGTGAGTATGAAGGGTGTGAAGGGTGAGTGTGAAGGGTGAGAAGGGTGTGAAGGGTGAGTATGAGGGTGTGAAGGGTGTGAAGGGTGAATATGAGGGTGTGAAGGGTGTGAAGGGTGAGTATGAAGGGTGTGAAGGGTGAGTGTGAAGGGTGAGAAGGGTGTGAAGGGTGAGTGTGAAGGGTGAGAAGGGTGTGAAGGGTGAGTGTGAGGGTGTGAAGGGTGAATATGAGGGTGTGAAGGGTGTGAAGGGTGAGTATGAGGGTGTGAAGGGTGAGTGTGAAGGGTGAGAAGGGTGTGAAGGGTGAGTGTGAAGGGTGAGAAGGGTGTGAAGGGTGAGTATGAGGGTGTGAAGGATGTGAAGGGTGAGTATGAAGGGTGAGAAGGGTGTGAAGGGTGAGTGTGAAGGGTGTGAAGGGTGAGTGTGAAGGGTGAGAAGGGTGTGAAGGGTGAGTGTGAAGGGTGTGAAGGGTGTGAAGGGTGAGTGTGAGGATGAGAAGGGTGTGAAGGGTGAGTATGAGGGTGTGAAGGGTGTGAAGGGTGAGTATGAAGGGTGAGAAGGGTGTGAAGGGTGAGTATGAAGGGTGTGAAGGGTGAGTGTGAAGGGTGAGAAGAGTGTGAAGGGTGAGTATGAAGGGTGTGAAGGGTGAGTGTGAAGGGTGAGAAGGGTGTGAAGGGTGAGTATGAAGGGTGAGAAGGGTGTGAAGTGTGAGTATGAGGGTGTGAAGGGTGAGTATGAAGGGTGAGAAGGGTGTGAAGGGTGAGTATGAAGGGTGTGAAGGGTGAGTGTGAAGGGTGAGAAGGGTGTGAAGGGTGAGTGTGAAGGGTGAGAAGGGTGTGAAGTGTGAGTATGAGGGTGTGAAGGGTGAGTATGAAGGGTGTGAAGGGTGAGTGTGAAGGGTATGAAGGCTGAGAAGAATGAGTATGAGGGTGTGAAGGGTGAGTATGAAGGGTGTGAAGGGTGAGTGTGAAGGGTGAGAAGGGTGTGAAGGGTGAGTATGAGGGTGTGAAGGGGTGAGTGTGAGGGTGAGAAGGGTGTGAAGGGTGAGTGTGAAGGGTGAGAAGGGTGTGAAGTGTGAGTATGAGGGTGTGAAGGGGTGAGTATGAAGGGTGAGAAGGGTGTGAGGGTGAGTATGAAGGGTGTGAAGGGTGAGTGTGAAGGGTGTGAGGGTGGTGTGAGGGTGAGAGGGTGTGAGGGTGGTATGAGGGTGTGAAGGGTGAGTGTGAGGGTGAGAGGGTGTGAGGGGTGAGTATGAGGGTGTGAAGGATGTGAAGGGTGAGTGTGAAGGGTGAGAAGGGTGTGAGTGTGAGTATGAGGGGTGTGAAGGGTGAGTATGAGGGTGAGAAGGGTGTGAAGGGTGGTATGAGGGTGTGAAGGGTGAGTGTGAAGGGTGTGAAGGGTGGTGTGAAGGGTGAGAGGGTGTGAGGGTGAGTATGAGGGTGTGAAGGGTGGGTGTGAGGGTGAGAAGGGTGTGAGGGTGAGTATGAGGGTGTGAAGGATGTGAAGGGTGAGTATGAGGGTGAGAAGGGTGTGAGGGGTGGTGTGAGGGTGTGAAGGGTGTAGGGTGTGAAGGGTGGTGTGAGGGTGTGGGGGTGGTGTGAGGGGTGAGGGGTGTGAGGGTGGTGTGAGGGTGTGAGGGTGTGAGGGTGAGTGTGGGGATGGAGGGTGTGAAGGGTGAGTATGAGGGTGTGAAGGGTGTGAGGGTGGTTGAAGGGTGAGAGGGTGTGAAGGGTGAGTATGAAGGGTGTGAAGGGTGTGAGGGTGGTATGAGGGTGTGAAGGGTGGGTATGAGGGTGTGAAGGGTGGTGTGAGGGTGAGAGGGTGTGAAGGGGTGGTGTGAGGGTGGAGGGTGTGAAGGGTAGGTATGAAGGGTGTGAAGGGTGGTGTGAGGGTGGAGGGTGTGAAGTGTGGAGTATGGGGTGTGAGGGTGGTATGGAGGGTGAGAAGGGTGTGAGGGTGAGTATGAGGGTGTGAGGGTGTGTGTGGGGTGAGATGGGTGTGGGGTGAGTATGGGGTGTGAGGGTGTGTTTGAGGGGTGGGGGGTGTGAGGGTGGTTGGGGGTGAGAGGGTGTGAGTGTGGTTGGGGTGTGGGGTGAGTTGAGGGTGGAGGGTGTGAGGGTGGTATGAGGGGTGTGAGGGTGAGTGTGAGGGTGAGAAGGGTGTGAAGGGTGAGTGTGAAGGGTGAGAAGGGTGTGAAGTGTGGTATGGGGGTGTGGGGTGGTTGAGGGGTGAGAGGGTGTGAAGGGTGAGTATGAGGGTGTGAGGGTGGTGTGAAGGGTATGAAGGCTGAGAAGAGTGAGTATGGGGTGTGAGGGTGGTTTGAGGGTGTGAGGGTGGTGTGAAGGGTGAGAGGGTGTGAGGGTGAGTATGAAGGGTGTGAGGGTGGGTGTGAGGGTGAGAGGGTGTGAAGGGTGAGTGTGAAGGGTGAGAAGGGTGTGAAGTGTGAGTATGGGGTGTGAAGGGTGAGTATGAAGGGTGAGAAGGGTGTGAAGGGTGAGTATGAGGGTGTGAAGGGTGGTGTGAAGGGTGTGAGGGGTGGTGTGGGGTGGAAGGGTGTGAGGGTGAGTATGGGGTGTGAAGGGTGAGTGTGAGGGTGGAAGGGTGTGGGGTGGTTGAGGGTGTGAGGGGTGAGTGTGAGGGTGAGAGGGTGTGAGGGTGGTGTGAGGGTGGGGGGTGTGAGTGTGGTATGAGGGTGTGAAGGGTGAGTTGAAGGGTGAGAGGGTGTGAAGGGTGAGTATGAGGGTGTGAAGCGTGAGTGTGAAGGGTATGAAGGCTGAGAAGAGTGAGTATGAGGGTGTGAAGGGTGAGTATGAGGGTGTGAAGGGTGTGAAGTGTGGTATGAGGGTGTGAAGGGTGAGTATGAGGGTGAGAAGGGTGTGAAGGGTGAGTATGAGGGTGTGAGGGTGTGAAGGGTGAGTATGAGGGTGTGAAGGGTGAGTATGAAGGGTGAGAAGGGTGAGTGTGAAGGGTGAGAAGGGTGTGAAGGGTGGTATGAAGGGTGTGAAGGGTGGTGTGAGGGTGTGAAGGGTGAGTATGAGGGTGTGAAGGGTGGTATGAGGGTGTGAAGGGTGAGTTGAGGGTGAGAAGGGTGGTGTGAGGGTGAGAAGGGTGTGAGGGTGAGTATGAGGGTGTGAAGGGTGGTGTGAGGGTGTGAAGGGTGAGTTGGGGTGTGAGGGTGTGGGGGTGGTATGAGGGTGTGAAGGGTGGTATGAAGGGTGAGAGGGTGAGTATGAAGGGTGAGAAGGGTGTGAAGGGTGAGTATGAGGGTGTGAAGGGTGAGTGTGAAGGGTGTGCAGGGTGAGTATGAGGGTGTGAAGGGTGTGAAGGGTGAGTATGAGGGTGTGAAGGGTGAGTATGAGGGTGTGAAGGGTGAGTATGAAGGGTGTGAAGGGTGAGTGTGAAGGGTGAGAAGGGTGTGAAGGGTGAGTATGAGGGTGTGAGGTTGGGAAGGGTGAGTATGAAGGGTGTGAAGGGTGAGTGTGAAGGGTGTGAAGGGTGAGTATGAGGGTGTGAAGGGTGAGTATGAGGGTGAGAAGGGTGTGAAGGGTGAGTATGAGGGTGTGAAGGGTGGTGTGAGGGTGTGAAGGGTGAGTATGGGGTGTGAAGGGTGGTATGAGGGTGAGAAGGGTGTGAAGGGTGAGTATGAAGGGTGTGAAGGTTGTGAGGGTGAGTGTGAAGGGTGTGAAGGGTGGGTATGAAGGGTGTGAAGGGTGTGAAGAGTGAGTATGAGGGTGTGAAGGGTGAGTATGAAGGGTGAGTTGCCGGCAGAGACTGGGAGCCCTGGGCCGGAAACACACATCTCAGTGCCTCCTATCCTCAGGAGGGAATCCAAGGCCAGAGAAGGCAAGGATTTGCCCAGGGTCCCCTGCAGGCCGGTGCAGCCCCCTCACTGGTCTCTCTGCCTCCTGACACTGAGATCCACCCAGCTGGACCCTCGGAGTGGCCCAGTCCAGATCCCTTCCCGGTGTCCAGGACTGCCGGGTGGGCTGTCTAAGCGTCCTGGGGTTGGTGGGGAGGGGTGGGGGCTGGGGGAACCGCCTGCCGTCCCAGCTGCCCCAGAAGACGCTGCTCTAGACCCCGCTCTCATCTTCCTCTGCGCGCCTGTGGGTGCACAGAGCCGTCTTCCTGTTGCTCAGCACACAGGGCCGGCCCGAGGATCCTGGGCTCAGGAGCTGCTGCCCTTGCTCCTGGGGCTTCCTCACGCCTTTCACAACGTGACCGAGGGTGTGAGGGCTGCGGGGCCTTCTCCAGAGACGCCGGTAGGTCAGGATCCAGCCCCGGGCGGAGTGGCTGGGGCAGGCGCTTGGGGGTCTCGGAGGGGACCAGGCTGAGGGGCTGGACTGGAGTGAGAGTCCAGTGACTCAAAGCAGACACTGCACCGCCCGCCTGCAGGCAGCTCCCTGGGCCCCTAGTCAGCGGTTCTTGAATATTTTGGTTGCAAGACTCCTTTAGTCTGAACAATTATTGAACTGAAAAACTGTAGCTTACATGGTTATATCGATTGATAGTTCCATTATTTGAAATTAAAACTGAGAAATATTAATTCATTTTATAAGATGTTTGGAAAAAATAATAGAAATTCACTGGAATGCCCTTCCCACCTGCTGGGATTCT